TGGCCCGTAAGAACCCTGCGCAATAGAGGCGAGATGAAAATAAATAGAAAATAAAAGGAAAATCCCGAGCGAAAACTAGAAATACATTACACTTCATATGATATATAAAGTCCATATATGCATACGATAACATATGAAAAAATCCATTTTGCGTTCAAAACTTTAGACGCATATTTTCTACTGTTATGACACACAAATATACGCAATTACACGAACGAAAAAGAAATATAATACACCACACGAGGGTAAGCGCGTGATAAATTTAATTCGAATAATATTGTAAGTTGAACACGGGATAAAAGTCCTAGAGTAGATAAAACATTCTCCTGAGTTTAATAATCCAACAGGACATTTCACTACAGTCACCGAAACCGCAATAAAGATATAAAACTTACAAAATAATATAGTATATGGTAAATGGTGCGTAACATAAGGTGTCAGTAAATTTCTTAAATTGTATAGCGAATAACTTCATAAATAAAGTTTCAAATGTAAAATAGAAGTATAAATTTAATTTATAAACGATTGCGATCAAAATATTATAATATAAGAATAAATACCAAACATGCATGAGATATTTATTTTTATTTATTTTTTTTTTTTCAAATAATTATCTAATAGAAAATGAAACAACGTACATATGTACAATGTACATTACATTTCAATTAATCTATGTAGTTGTTATCCAGTTTAACATACTAGTATTGATCAAAAACTCACAAATATTAAGTTAATTTTAGTATTAAAATATAAGTTATAAGCTAAAATTAAAAAAATATCTTATATCATAATAAATGATAATAATAACTGATTAACTTAATTTAAAAACCGATGTAAAATTTTACTCGTATTTCTAAGTAAATAGAAAAAAAAAAGTTCCATTTGGGAGTACTAAAATTGTCCCATTATATTTAAAAATGTATTTTAATAACTAATTATTTAATGTTTGAGATCAAAATTAATTTTCATTTTATTCATATCTTAAAATACACCATATAATATTATTGATGTAAAAAAAATATCTGAACGCTAAATATAAAATGTACATAGATTTACATCTATCAGTTTTACAAGCAACCACTTTGATAGTAACATGTATACTTTTTTAATTAATTTAAAAATTGTTTTAAAATATATTAAAAAAAAAAAAAAAAGATCTTATCACGCAAAGAAATACCAGCCGTTTAATTCATGAAAATTTGAACATCAAAGGTTTATATAATTTCATTTGAGTTAAATGTTTATATTCACATTACTTTAGTGCTAAAACGTACGTTTTTACATAATAAATTAATGATTCTAACATTTTTTAAATAAATCATTCAGGTCTTGCACTGAGAATTCCGAAGTTAAAAAAAAAAAAATTAAATTTAAAATGTCAATAATTGGATATTTTCTTTAAGAATAATGTTAATTTGTTTTAGTATGTGTAACTCGATTTTGAGAAATTTTTTGAATTTTGAAAATAAATATTAAAACACAATAAATATGAATATTATATTAATAAATTATATACATTTAATAAAGTAATATACTCGTATTATACAGTTAATATACGAATTAAATAATAAATTAATGTATACATATATTTATTTTATGGGATATTTGGAAAGTCATTAGACTTTATGCTTGGTTTGTCTTATAGAGATACAGTAAGTTTGATGTAATTGTATTGGAAATTGTATATTAGAAAAAATAATTGGGCCTCGTCTTCCTCCAAATTTCAGAAGTAAAGTCCAGAAAGTGAAAACCGAAATTAGAACCCGAATTAGAACCGACGACCTTGAAAAACCACGATACACCAAAATATATATTCTATTATAAATGAAGATTCCAAAGTAAATGATTAAAAGAAAAAAATATATTTTCATGTTTCTGGATAACGTAAAATAGTGTTGTAAATAATATCAACAATTGTTACCTTTAATTATTTAAAATGGATATAATACGTTTTGTTAGTAAATTTATTTCACAGTCATAAGTAATAATGGTAGATTGGTTAAGTAACATGAATATAACCTTTGAAAATTGGAATTTTCTAAATTCTAAAAATGTGTAGGTTAATTAAAATCGAAAAATCGGTTTTGTAATAGAATACAACCAGAAATTCATTAAATAAGTTTAAATACCAAGATTCTCTTGGAACTTGGGTTCTCCAAATAAACAGTAACTATTACAAGTGTAAATACATCGAAAATTACACATTGTGTAACAGAATAAGCATTAACAGCGAGGGAATGCAAACTATAGACCAAAGGCTTCGTACAATTTATCATGGGAAACGTTTGGAGTAGATTGTTTTCCTGTATTCAGAAAAGCGATAGAAGATGATTGCATTTTACATTTGTATGAACGAAAAATATAATATGATCAATCATGTAGTGGCATACATGATTAAAATTTTATATAAATATAATATATTAGATGTGATGATATGAATATAATGACTACTATCCATGGTCAACTGGCCATAAATCCTTTAGTAGTTCTCTGTTATATGATAATCACAAAACTAATATTTTTGTATATTTAAAAACAATGATATAAAATCAACCCATAATAAATTTATGATAGAAAAACTATTGGAAAAATCATAATTGAGATGCATTTTTAATTAAATGATGAAATTTTAAAATAATTTAGTTAAATATAGAATCATATAGATATTATCTGATTTAAATTTAATTGAAAAAATATACAAGACACTGAAAAATCCACTTCAGAAAAATTATTACGAATAATAATAAAAATATAACGTTTTTAATAATTGAGATTTTAATCCCAAGAGTTAACTTGACCCTAACTATATTGTAATTATATTGTAAGTACTTATATATTTTACAAAGTTCAACATTTTTTTATTTTAAGCAGAACTAAATGCTTTGAAGAAATGTGTTAACGTTTGATAGCGCCTCATAATTTATTTCATTGTCCCGTTTTTATTTATCAAGACAACGATGCCAATGTTCCATCTTTTCTTCCTCGTCTTTTCAATTAAAATCGTATTGTAAATTTATATTATTATTATTGTGTTATTATTATATTTATAAATTATTTATCTCATTCGCATATTTATATAAGTACATACACATATAAATATGTTTGTTTGTGTGTAAGCGCGTGTGTGCGATTATATATTTTTTATTTTATTACTGTTTTTAATTTTTTTTCGTTCAGTTGTATTGTTCCCGCTATCAAAGCAGACTTATATTAATTATATTCGTTGTTCTCTATTATTATTACTATTATTATTATAATTATGATTAAAAAAAATTTATACTTTGGATTTTGTATGCTATTTCCTATTGCAGTTACATTCACACCAGCCCGTTTTATTATAATATATGTATATGAGTTGTTTCATCATCATTGAAATAGGTTCCAAATATTAATTATTAAAACATAAATAAATAAATAAATAAATCAAAGCTTGGCATAGAGTATTATTAATTTTCTAATGACCAGTTTCGAATTAAAAATTCATCATTAGATATATACAATGTTAATAAAATCACGATTGAATACAAAAAAAATATGAGTCGCGATCTTATTTTTGTTACCCGACATGTATATTGAGTTGCCTACCGGCATAAACTAAGGTGCGAATTGTCTACCTCATAGGTTACAGTGTCATCTTCGAGGAGTACTTGTTAGGAGTGGGTCATCTCCACAAATTTATTTTCTTATATTCTCAATAATTTATTATTGTCATTATCAATCATGTATTCTTATAACACAACATAATTGATTCAAATTATTTAAATAATATTCACAAAAAAAAGATTAAGTCTTAAATCTACCAATTTATTCAATCATCAATACCAATCTTACTTGAAATACGAGTAAGTTTTATTTGGCACATTAAATGTACGTGTAATACAATATATGAGATAGTTTGATATTAGTTATTCACAAAAGTATAAAACTAAACATAATATGTTCAAGCATCTTTCAAAATTAAATGTTCAAACAAAATCTACAAAAATATATAGAAAATAACTTAATAATATATAAAATCAGAATATTGTTATGCTTATAGTGATTATCTATCTACGATCCCAGTACTCGAAATATTTTGAACATAATAATAATATACAATATATCTGAACATCTGATCAATGTATTATGTATATTGGTATATTTGAATCATATATTGGTTCAATTTACATTTTCAATTAACTGATAATTCTATTTTCCCTTCAAATTATTCCTGCCAGAAGCAAAACGAGCAGCTTCCAAAATATTACGTACATAAGATACGCAATAAACGAAAATAATTAAATCAAAATAAAATATCAAACCTCAAAGTTTAATCAAATATGTATTATGATATTTGCTTATGTAAAAACATTTTTCAGTCTACCAATAAAAATATATTCATTACACTATGATTGCACAGTACAGTATTTGTATAATCATTCAATACTCAATTACGTTTATAAAAAAATAAATATATAAATATATTTATATATCAAACACGATATGAATAGTTGTCTTTTGTACATTACCCTTAAAAACATACACAAACGAAAAATAAATTTCATCTTATTTGTAATAAGAAGTTGTCAGTAATACAATCATTTTAAACGGAAATACTACGTCAAAACCGTTAAAATAAAATGTATCTCAAAATAAAATAATATTAAAGATCTTTATTATTGCGTAGGGTTTTAAACATAGCTTTACAAAAATAAATGTGCATTTTAAGAGTTTTAATTTATTGATTACAATATTTTACTACAAGCCTCAAGATATATATTTAATAATAATACCATATAAGCGTACAGTCAATACTAATATAAAAATATTGCAAAAACGTATCATAAAATCACTGCCAGGCTATTTTTCTATTTGTTTAAAATAACTTATTTTTATAAAATAACTTATTTTTATAAAATAACTTATTTTTATAAAATAACTTATTTTTATAAAAAAATCAAACGTCACGGCAAATAATAACTCACCAAACCTATAATATTGAAGTCGATTATTAAAATTACCTGTAAGTTTGGAGGACAATGGTCTAAAAGTTCCAACATATGTCTGATGTTTTGCGCGTCTTGTATGATAAAGTTTAATTCCATGTCGAATTCACCGCCAACTAACTGTAACAAAATTAAATCATACTCTCGGTTAGTCTTGAATAGATTTACACAAAAGGAAGAAAGAGAAGATAATGATGATCCAGAGGAGACGCGTTGGTAATTTTCCAGAAACTTGTAGAAACATTGTCATCGGCATTAAAAACGATTAAAAATTTAATTAAATATTCGGAGAAGATGGAGAGTGCAGTGCAGAGCATCCGATTGAGTTACTACAAGTCATGGCTTATTTTTTAAGCAAGGTGATACTTTACGAAAATCAAATCGTAAATGAAACACATTTATTGTAACCGAATTATTCTTTGACACGTACATTTCAATATTTTCAACGGAAAAGTTAGAACTAAGCTTTAACTTTAGTAATTATCATATTTTAGTAACTAACTTGTTTATCAACTCGATACGTGCAGCTTTAATGTGGAATATTTTCGGTAGATTGACAAAATAAAAACGGATATACATGTAACGATACATAATGAGAAAAGTTCCGATAATGTTTAAAAGTCAATAAAATAAAGTTTCTGGAGGTTATAGGTAAAAAAAAAACAATACCATATGACTATTGATAAACTAATAACAAACAAAATATTTACTATTCTTCAATACTTGATTAATTTACAATACGTAATGAAGAACAATAAATCTCACAGAATATCGTGCTATAGTATTTTAATAAGAAATTACATTTATCTTAAGTAAATTAATTATAATTCTTCTTTCGTAAAGATTTTGATTTGATTATGATTTACAAGAATTACGTGCAAGAATTGGGCATGATATAAAATAAATTTTTCTTTCGTTTACTACGGTAGGGAAATATTGAAAAATATAACAAATAAAATGGAAAATTCATATAGATAGTTTATATTTTATATTTTACGACAGTTATTTTCAATAACTCAATGTGAGAATGAAAAACAAGAGAGCAATAAAGAATAAACTGATTTCCGAGATAATCATATTTTCAAATTATAATCTCACCAGATGGAGTAGTGAAGCTCGCTTTCAAAATATATTATTAATAAAAATGAAAATTATTAGAATAATTATTTAAAAGTACCTAGGTCGTTTGTAAATTTCAAAAACATTAATTGTATTTAACAGTTCACGTATTTATAATTGTATTAAAAAAATAACAACGGTTATTTTTTTTTAATTGGTACAAAAGGGAGTAATTATTACCATATAGCTACAGTGTCTCCTAGCGTTTTCTGTAATCGAGATAAATGAAGGCTCTTTAAAGTATTAATTGAAAAAATATTAGTTGATTAAAATATAATCGTTGGTTACTGAGCAAGTTCGCTATAGAACATCGTATATAATAATAAAAAATAATGGATATTCGAAACATGAACACATAACTGTTATACAATATATAACTATAAATACTGTATATATCTTCCACGTATAAATTTGTATGAATAAAAACAAGCATTTACAATCAAATATTATTTAATGTCACGTCGTAAATTCATAAAACCTGAAAATTATCGCAACAAATACCATGTAATTAAATTCACTATCTATGCTCATAACTTAATCATATAATAGTATTTAATGTGTAACGCAGAAGTATTTAATAGAAATGAATTCGGTAAAAAATATCGTGGCAATCTAACTAAAAAATTATGCAGAAAATGCATGAAAATGTAATATGTATAGATGTTAGCCAACATTTTTTTTTTATTAAAACCAACGTATAATAATACTTTAAATGTTTTAATTAATCAAAAAATTAATACATATATATATCAATGGATGAATAGAAATTTGTAAAAGAAAATGTATAAGGGATTTTTTTTTTCATTTAACAAAATGAGTGAGTAAAAATGTAACTTACTATTAGTATCGTACAAAATAAGTAGTATCAAATAAAAAAACAAATAACAAAAAAAAAACTAAAAAAATATATTGTTTATAACCAATGATTATACAAATAAAAACAAACTACTATATAAATTTAAAAAAAATATTTATAAGGACATTTACATATAATACGTAGACGCATCTTTTGGATACAGTTACCGCAACACAGTAATGACTGCTTAAATAAAAGTTTTATGTTTGATGAACTGTCTGTTTTGAATTTAAGACATAATCAATACACTACTTATGAAGCGTGTTGATTCAATAATAATGTATGAGCATAATCGGCAATATGCATTAGTATAATTCCTTATAACTAACATAATAATTGTAATACGGAATATTTTGTTTAGACAGTTTAGATAAGCGACACAGTTATAATTTTACGATCCAAGAAAGTACAATAAATTAATATGCTCAACTCAACAAGATAAAATGTAACTTGTTAATTTTCTAAAGACGTAATCACATTAGTTCGTTTTAATAGTTTAGAATATCAGATTATAGCATAATTAAGTGGGTAAAATTGAATTTTATCAATTGTAAACAAATATAAAATTTTAAAAGTAAAGCAATAGTAAATGTGAAATATACACGAACAATATGTTTTTTTGTTACAGTACAACAAATGGTTCCATTTTAAATGAGATTTTAGGTGTGATTATTAACATATATCACAAACTTTCGACTTTGTCACACATGGGAAAAATACATCAATCGAAGTTTAGAAGTTATAACACATTGCTTAAGGGTTAAAATCATAAAATTAGTATATCCAGAAAAAAGCACGTTCTAACATAATAAAAATTAAAATGAAACGAACAAACGATTCTTTAACGTTTAACGGATGTTAGTAAATGTAAAACCTAAATTTTTGTTTCACCCGAATTGTTTGAAAATTGATACATTAAAAAAAAAAAAATAAACTTAATAACAAGGTTGTTATAATCAACCCTGAAGGTATAAACTCTCATAAAACCTATGAAAAAAGACCTCTTACCTATTACAATTCGATTATCGAATATAAATATGTACCCAAAGATAACTTAATATACCTTAGCAATATAATAATGATAATTGATTTTGTGTATAAAATAAAAAAAAAATGAAAAGAAAGACGCAAAAAGATTATTAATTCTACAAAAGGTACTTATTGTACACTGTTTAACAAATTAATTCGTATAAAATATTTTTCTTGATATACATATTTTTTCATTATGAGGATAATAAATAGTTAATTTTAAAAATATCAAATAAAGTACATAGGGTAACATTATTATAATTTTCAATTTTTACCAGTCTTTATTTAAATGTATGTATACATTGAAGGACATTTATAGGTAACACCTGAATACCACGGAAACATATTTTGAATTTACTGAACATATCACCTAATCATATAATATTTAACAATTAGAAGCATAATTTAATTATGATATCAGTATATATTTTTCTAAAATAATAAAGATAATAAAATTCTTATAATATTATAACATTCAATTGTTTCGGTTTACCTTGTGGCTCGATTTCCTTTAAAAGAAAAATATGAAGCGCTTTCCTTGTTTAATAAAACCACAAAATTATCATTGTTAAATATATTTTCAGATTTTGATGATTTAGTTATTTCAATGTTTGCACATTTCCATTTTACAGTATTGTAAGCAATGTCATATTTACAATCGTTATAAATTGGTCACTCAGTTATACCAAAAGGAAATTAAAAAAATTCTCACCCACACGATTCTTAAAAAAAATACAGTAATTGAATTCAAATGTATCAAGTACTAATCATTTAGTTTCAGTTTTTCTTTCTAAAATATCAACAATATTTTGCACTTTTATAGTATAACAAATATAAGTGGAAATATAAAGTTGTTTACAGATCGTGTTACCTCGAATGAAAAACCATTCATCAATTCAGTGCTAACAATTTAAGTTATATTAAGCTATAAAATCACGCTACCACATATTATTATTTTGCATATTATGATATTTTATTTCGTCCTTTTATTTCCTTCCTTTGGGAAATTTTATAACTTATTTATTTTTTTATCATAACTGTTGTTTATATAACTATCAAAGTTATTAATCAGCATTTTCCTCGGGAAATATAATAATATATTAGAATATATGAGTATATGTATTTTCAAATATTAGACAGCAAAATGAAAGAATAAAAACTTAAAACACAAAAATTACTCGAGCCGTATCTACGCAGACTTACATATAAATTATTTATACACAAAATAAAAATATATTTTACCTGAGCATAATATATAAAAATAAAATAAAAAGAGAGAACCGAACTCGATTTAAAATAACAAATTATTTTTATTTTTGTATACATTATCGTATTACATATAAATTGTACACATAATGGCCGTATTTAAGTTTTGACTTTAACAAAATTTAACACAGGGTCGTATTCCTGCACGGAAACAGTACCAGCACACGGTTAATAGTTGTCGATATATTTCATCTTCGATGCACCGAAATGTATACTACATAATATTGTACATAGGCGTTTTCTCGGTGGAGGGATATGGAGGATGGATCTCCTTATGGCCTTTTTATTTATTTATTTATTTTATTTTTTTTGGGTAAGTTAATTAACTGATAATTTAATATTTTAATGGAAATTAAATAAATGAATATTTTTTTTGACTAGATATTAATCTGTATCTGTAATTTAATATTAAATACTAATATATTAATAGTAAAATGTAAACAATAAATTAGTCTCACGATACTATCGATTATACAAGTGATAACATATTCATGTTAGTCAATTGTTTTTAACGATTTATAAAGTGTATTAACGAGTTACGACTGATGACTGACTTGTATTTTTATTTTTGATCAAAATGAAACAAAGTAATTCCAGTATACTAAATTTTTTTTCAAAAATTAAAAAATTAATATTATAACTTCATATTTTTTATAATTTATGTCATTCATAGAATCGTCGTCTTAACGGCTCAACATTGTTGGCCGTTCATAGGAAAATCTCAATAGATGGCAAAGAAGTTCTTGACACGATGAATTAAAAATCAAAAAAATTCGATACTATTTCAGCAATTTAATATTTTAATTAACAATATAATATTTTTTAATTTTCATTTAATGTATGTTGTTTT